GGTAGAGAGCTCGCCTTGAGCTGAAGAGCTGAGGGACAGTGCCCAGGCCCAGAGTTCAGGCCCATGACCGGACCCAAAAAAAAAAAAAAAAAAAAGAATTAATACTGAGCTTGGTGTAATGGTACACTCTCATCATCCCAGAACTCAGAAGGTGAAGACAGGAAAAGTGAGTCAAGATAGCTTAGGCTACATATTAAGGCCCTAACTTAAAGAAGGCAGGAAAGGAGGATGGATGAAAGGAAAGAGGGAGAGCAGAAGGGAGGGAAGTAGGGAAGTAGGAAAGGAAGAAGGTATATAACAGAAAAAATAAAACAACGCTCAGAAGAACTCTCCAGTTTTTCCCTGCTCCCATTCTCCTAGCTCTATACCTTATAGTGAAAAAGCAGGCCAAAGTCTCAGCTTCACTGAACTTAACACAGGTCCCACCTTTTCTAAGCACAGGAATGTTTAACCTACATATTTCCTAATAGATAAGAAAATTATTTAATTTCAAAAAGTGACTCAGTAGAAGATGAAGTAAGAGCCATAAGTAGTGTATGCCTGTAATTCCGGCACTTGAGAGGCTGAGATCAAGTTGGAGGTCAGCCTTGAATACATAGAGAAACCTTGTCTCAGAAGAGAAATGAATAGAAAAGACTAAATAGAGACTATAGAAAACTAAATAACTGGGGCTGGGAAGGTGGCTCAGTGGTAGAGCGCTTGCCTTGCATGCATGAGGCCCTGGGTTCGATTCCTCAGCACACATAAGCAGAAAAAAAAAAAGCCAGAAGTGGCACTGTAGCTCAAGTGGTAGAGTGCTAGCCTTGAGCTGAAGAGCTGAGGGACAGCGCCCAGGCCCAGAGTTCAGGCCCCACAACTGGAACCAAAAAAACACCAAAAAAACAAAAACTAAATAACTCAATTCACAGAGTCAAGTACCTAAGTAATTGACTATTTACTTGTGAATAATATTTAAAAACAAATGTTTAAAGCCAGGCACTGATGGTTCACACTTGTAATCCTACCTACTTAAGAGGTTGGGATAGGAAGCTCAAGGTTCAAAGCCAGGCTGGGCAGGGAAGTCTGAGACTATTATCTCCAATTAGCCACCAGAAAACTGGAAGTAGAGTTGTGGCTCTAAGTGCTAGAGTGCTAACCTGGAGCAAAAAGAGCCCAGAGGCTAAGCCCAGAGTTTAAGCCCCACAATGGACCTCCCAAAAAAAGACAAATATTTAACCCACTGACCCATCAAGAGATTTTCATTACTTTTACACAAAGGGTGTGAGTTGGTTTAAAACACACAAAATAAAATACAGTAAGATAAATTAAAAAAAAAACTCTCAACTTTCTCATCAATAAAGATATTAGAATAGCCATTTTGTAAACCATTTTGTATTCCCTAAGAGATAAGATGCAACAATATTTCATGACACAGGCGGCAATTAAGAACTTGAGGAACCCCCCACACCTTCTCCTCTTACCCTAAACTATGTTCAAATCGATTGTGCGAAGCTCCTGGGAATACATAGTAACCACCTCCCAACTGCTTAATATACCGAAGTCGCTGGAACTGAGGAGTGTCAATGATTCGGATAAGGAGAGGGTGGAACTCAATATGGCCATGGATAGGATCATTAATCACCTGGAAAATTATATGTAAATTAGTATCAACAACAAGACATAACTCTAATTTTGTGTGTGTGTGTATATGCCGGTACTAGGGCTTACATTTGGGGCCCCATGCTTCTACTCAGCTTTTTGCTTATGGCTGGTGTTCTACCACTTGAGCCACACTCACAGCCCTGTCCCTTTTTTTTTTCTTTTGGTGCAATTATTATTATCTTTTTTGGAATGGATCCTGAGTTTTGCCTAGAACTAACCTAGGATTCTGATCATCTTACCTACAGCTTCCTATGTAGTAGATACTATAGACATATTACACTTTGCCCAACATGTTTGTTAAGATGGGAATCTCACTTTTTTTGCCCAGGTGGTTTTAGACCATAATCCTCTTATCTCTGGCTCCCAAGCAGTTGGGCTATACCACCATGCCTGGTCTATTTTAGTCTTAGGATACATTGAATAGTATATACTTTATCAAACATTGTATTTCCTCCTCATTATTATATAATCCTGGCTTGAGGACTGCATTCACACACACACACACACACACACACACACACACACACACACACACACACACACGGTAAAAAATTGAAATGGTTGCTGGGTGCTGGCTTCTGACTTGTAATACTAGATACTCAAGAAGTTGAGAGAAGCAGGGCGCTGGTGGCTCACACCTGTAATCCTAGCTACTCAGGAGGCTGAGATCTGAGGATCACGGTTCAAAGCCAGCCCGGGCAGGAGAGACCGTGAGACTCCTATCTCCAATAAACCACCAGAAAACTGGAAGTGGCGCTGTAGCTCAAGTGGTAGAGCGCTAGCCTTGAGCTGAAGAGCTGAGGGACAGCGCCCAGGCCCAGAGTTCAAGCACCACGACCGACAAAAAAAAAAAAAAGAAGTTGAGAGAGCCGGGCGCTGGCAGCTCACACCTGTAATCCTAGCTACTCAGGAGGCTGAGATCTGAGAATCATGGTTCAAAGCCAGCCCAGGCAGGAAAATCCATGAGACTCTGATCTCCAATAAACCACTAGAAAACTGGAAGTGGTGCTGTGGCTCAAGTGGTAGAGTGCTCGCCTTGAGCTAAAGAGCGCAGAGACAGCACCAGAGTTCAAGCCCCATGACCAAAAAAAAAAAAAAATCAGAGGGCCTGGGAATGTGGCTTAATGGTAGAGTGCTTGCATAACATGCATGAAGTCCTGGGTTTGATTACTCAGTACCACATAAACAGAAAAAACCCAAAGTGGCAAAGTGCTAGCCTTGAGCAAAAGCAGCTCAGGGACAGTACACAGGCTGAGTTCAAGAACTAGGACTGGCAAAAAAAAAAAAAAGAAGAAGAAGACGTTGAGAGAGACTGGGGCTTTTGACATCCGAATAGGATTGGTAGGAGAGGAATGAGTACTGTAAAATTAAACTTCAGGACTGGAAGTTGGCTCAGTGGTAGAGTACTTGCCTCATGCATGAGGCCCTAGGTTCGATTCCTCAGCACCACATAAGCAGAAAAAAAGCCGGAAGTGGGGGGCTATGGCTCCAGTGATAGAGGACTAGCCTTGAGCTGAAGAGCTGAGGGACAGCACCCAGAGTTCAACCCCCACGACCAACAAAACAAACAAAAAACCAACTTCAGGACTACTTCAGGAATAAAGCTCACTAACCCAACAAGAACTTTAGAACAACTTTAAAAGTTATTCTATGTCTAAGGGGTTTCTAGAAGTATTTGTGTCAATGGAGATGACTACCAAATCACTATAGTGTGGCTTATCCAACAAAAATATTATAAATGAGCTGGGCACTGGTAGCTCACGCCTGCAATCCTAGCTACTCAGGAAGCTGATATCTGAAGATCATGGTTCAAAGTCAGCCTGGGCAGGAAAGTCGGAGAGACTCTTATCTCCAATTAACCACAAGAAAACAGGAAGTGGTGCTGTAGCTCAAAGTGGTAGAGCACTAGCCTTGAGCTAAAGAGCTCAGAGACAGAGCCCAGGCCCTGTACCCAGCATCCAAGCCCTACAATTGAAAAAAAAAATCAGAAATGAAAGCTTTCTGTTACTTATGATACTGTACCATTTATACTACATAAAGGGTAAATGTATATATGGGTGTGTATACATATTTGTATATCTATAGTTACACATATAGTTACAGATATAGATATACACATAATCTCCATAAACAATGTTTACACACATATGTATATTTGGTAAAAAAAATTTTAATTCATGAAAGTGATAAACTTAATTTTCTGAGTGATACTTATCTCTGGGGAGAAAAAGATAGACCACAGTACAGGATGAGTACAGAAGAGGCCTTTTATAGCTTCTAATATTTTGTTCTAAAAACAATATATGTAATAGCTCACACTTATAATCCTAGCTACTCAGAAAACTTGAAGCCAGTCCTCATAGACAAATCTGAGAGAATCTTATCTCCAGCTAACCAGCAAAAAGCCAGAACTGAGGTATGACACAGGTGGTAAAATGCCAGCTGTGAGGAAAAAAGCTCAATGAGGGCCTGAGGCCCTGAGTTCAAGCCTTAGTACTGGCATCAAAACCAAACAAAAATAGTTCTGAAACAAATTAGGCAAAATGTTAAGATCTGACAAGCTGTGAGGCAATCCAAGCTTTTCTGCATGCTTAAAACATTTTAGTCTTAGCCGGGTGCTGGTGGCTCACACCTGTAATCCTAGCTACTCAGGAGGCTGAGATCTGAGGATCGCGGTTCAAAGCCAGCCTGGGCAGGAAAGACCGTGAGACTCCTATCTCCAATAAAAACCACCAGAAAGCCGGAAGTGGCGCTATAGCTCAAGGGGTAGAGAGCTCGCCTTGAGCTGAAGAGCTGAGGGACAGCGCCCAGGCCCAGAGTTCAAGCCCCACAACCGACAAAAAACAAAACAAAAAAACATTTTAGTCTTTTCTTCTGATTTAAATACACTGTGTCCAACTTAGAAAATGAAAGTTTAGAAAAGTAAAAGTAAAGATCTGCAATCCAGAACCCTACCACTCTTCTGCTGTTTTGTTAATTTTAAGTAATTGAGTTATACTTCTTTATAGTAAACACACACAAACAAAAAAACATAAGTTCAGGGGCTGGGAAGGTGGCATGTTTGCCTTGCATGCATGAGGCCCTGGGTTCAATTCCTCAGCACCACATAAGCAGAAAAAGTCAGAAGTGGGTGCTGTGGCTCAAATATTAGAGGTCTAGTGTTGAACTGAAGAGCTGAGGGACAGGGCTGGGAAGTTGGCTCAGTAGTAGCGCGCTTGCCTTGCATGCATGAGGCCCTGGGTTCAATTCCTCAGCACCACATAAGCAGGAAAAAAAAGCCGGAAGTGGTGCTATGGCTCAAGTGGTAGAGTGCTAGCCTTGAGCTGAAGAGCTGAGGGACAGCGCCCAGGCCCAGAGTTCAGGCCCCACAACTGGACCCCCAAAAAAAAAGAGCTGAGGGACAGTGCCCAGGCCCAAGAGTTCAGCCCTCACAACTGACAAAATAAACAAACAAAAAACCCGTAAATTCAGATTCCTCTTACCTTCACTGTCTCCATGTGGGTTTGACTCAATTGTTGGATATAATGAAGCAGTTTCTTCCTCTCCTCCAAGGAACTAAAATTATCCCAAGATAAATTTTAATAAACATTATTATCCTAGGAATGAACAGTGGTGCACAATCAGCTATTTTTTATCTACACAAACAGAAACTAGAAGGAACTAGAACATACCCCTCGGAGGAGGAGCTCCTGCTGAATCAAGGGAGAGGTCTGCCCTGGGCCCCGGACCTCTCTCTCAGGCTGATCATATCTAGAAGTCACAGGCTAAATATCAAATCTAAACTCACCATACTACTGACCAATTTTTCCTAAACTAGCACTAGTCATCACTTCCTTAGAACCCTAAAAGAAACTAGTCATAAGGAAATTACTGATGAAAACTTATTAAAATAACCACCATAAGAAAGAGAAGAGGGGCTGGGCAGGTGGCTCAGTGGTAGAGTGCTTGCCTTGCAAGCCTGAGGCCCTGGATTCAATTCCTCAGCACCACATAAGCAAAAAGAAAAAGCCGGAAGTGGCGCTGCGGCTCAAGAGGTAGAGCATTAGCTTTGAGCTGAAGAGCTGAGGGACAGCGCCCAGACCCAGAGTTCAGGCCCCACGACCGGACCCCCCCCAAAAAAAAACAAGAAAGAAAGAGAAGAGACCACTATGATCCCAAGGAAGGAGTACAAATGCTATCAGGTAGCAGAAATACAATGAACCCATTTTGGTTACTAGAAAGAGTTACTCAAAGACTTGACTATTTTTCTCCGGTCCTAATGATATCATATCAAACTCAGCTGAATTCCATTAGCATTGCCTAATGCCTGTTACATAATTAAATAATCTTTTGTGGAAGTATTTTCTTTTTTGTGTCAGTATGGAGACTTGAACTCAGAGCTAAGGCATGCTTCCTTATCTTTTCCCCTCAGCCAGAAGTGAAAGTATGGCTCAAGTAGTAAAGCACCAGCCTTGAGTAGAAAAAGCTAAAGAGCACAAGCCCTGAGTTCAAACCCCAGTACTGGTGGGGGAGTGGGAGAAGGCAAGGAAAAAAAGAAGTACCAAGAGGAGGCCCTTGATGATTTTGATCCAAAGGACACTTGCTGAAAGTCAGTTATACAGAAAGGTAATCTTTATCATCCACTTTCATTACCAAATCCTAAGCAATAGTACCATGAAGTAATTCAGTAATCCTTTATTTTGATTCTTTGGTTACTGTTACCATAAACAATAATTAGCCAAATGAAATCACCCCTAATACAGATCCTATTTTCTCACTGTTGCCAATTCCTCAAGGAAAACAAAAACTCCATTATAAGGAATAGTAAATACCAGATACTCAAATGAGATCTTTAAAGTCCCCTGTCCTCCACTTTAATGTAGACTCTAGACCCTCTAGTCACACAGAGATGCCTATAGAGAGTTGTGTGTGTGTGTGTGTGTGTATGAATTTAAGGGCTAATTGTATGCTTTAACATTTTACAAACATGGTTACATTTTGGTCTTAAAACAGCTTTAGGGGCTGGGAACGTGGCTTAGTGGTAGAGTGCTTGTCTAGCATGCATGAAGTCCTGGGTTCCATTCCTCAGTACCACATGAACAGAAAAGGCTGGAAATGGCACTGTGGCTCAAGTGCTAGCCTTGAGCTAAAGAGCTGAGGGACAGTGTCCAGTCCTTGAGTTCAAGTCCCAGGACTGGAAATCAAAACAAAAACAAAAACAAAAAACAAGCAAAGAACCCCCACCCAACCCCCCCAAAAAACTGTTTTAGAAAGACCTTTAAATATATTCAAGATGGGGTTGTAGCCTTGATTATATTGCTAGTATATTTTTTCTTCCTATTAGTTCCTATGTATTTTTTGATATGTGTGATTCAATTATTTTGAAACTGAAAATAAGAAAGTTGGCCACTACAAACTTGAAAGCTTGTTAGAAAAATCTTTTAAAATACAATTTCTTTGTAATATCAAATAGGATTGACACAGCAAAAACAAATAGCAAGCCCGCAGTTTATAGCTCATACCTATAATCCTAGCTACTCAGGATGCTGAGATCTGAGGATCACAGTACAAAGCTAGTCTGGACAGGAAAGTCCTTGTGACTCTCATCTCCAATTAACCAACAGAAAAGGTGGAGCTGTGGCTTGAAGTGGTAGAGCACTAGTCTTGAGCAAAAAGAGCTCAAGAATAGCACCCAGTAATAGAAAGCCCACAGATTGGGAGAATATCTTCACTAGCCATACAACAGACAAGGATCTCATATCTAAAATATACCTGGAACTCAACAAATTAAATCCCCCAACAACAAATCTTCAAAGAAACAACTGCCCAATAAATAAGTGGGCTAAAGACTTAAAGAGAAACTTCTCTGAAGAGGAAAGAAGGATGGCCAATGGACACATGAAGGAATGCTCAACCTTCCTAGCCATAAAAAAAATGCAAATCAAAACAACATTGAGATACCACCTCACCCCAGTTAGAATGGCTATAATCAAAAACTCTAACAACAACAGATGCTGGAGGGGATGTGGACAGAAGGGAACCTTACTGCATTGTTGGTGGGAGTGAAAACTTGTTCAACCACTTTGGAAAGCAGTATGGAGGTTCCTCAAAAGACTCCACTATGACCCAACAATCCCACTTTTGGGCATTTACCCAAATGTTCACAAACAAGACCACACTAAAGCTACCAGCACGACTATGTTTATTGCAGATATGGAACCAACCCAGATGCCCCTCAGTAGATGAATGGATCAAGAAAATGTGGTATATATACACAATGGAATTCTACACTTCCATCAGAAAGAATGACATTGCCCCATTTGTTAGGAAATGGAAAGCCTTGGAAAAAATTACATTAAGTGAAGTAAGCCAGGCCCAAAGAAACAAAGGTCCCATGGTTTCCCTTATTTGCAATAACTAGTATATGTCTGAGTCAAGCAGAAAAGGTCAGATAAGTTGATGTTAGG